GCTTCCCCCCCCGCTCGCCCGCCCGCTCGCTGCTGTGCAGCGCCTGCTGCCTCGCCAGCCCTGCATCCACCCACTGCAGGAACCTGCAGGATGGGGGGGGGGGGTCTGTCTCGCGCCCGTTTCGTCAGCCCTCGGGTGACCTCTGCAGCAAAGCCCACGGCGGCCGCGCACCCCTGGCCGCCTCCGCCTGTCCCATTTTTGGGGGGTGGAGGGATAGGTTTCTTTTGAAAAAGGCCGGGGAGCGTGGTGGCGGGGCTGGGACGCAGCAGGTGGCTGCCCCGGGGCGTGTCTCGGGCCCAGGGTCGGCGCCGTCTCGCCCCACGTGTGGCCGGAGCGGCCAGCGTGCAGAGCAGGGTGGTGGCACCTTGCAGCGGGATCCTGGGGGAGAGGCGCGGCCGGCCGGATGCTGCCCAAACCCTGCGTCTCGGGGGAAGGAGGCTGAAGCCGAGCGCTGCAGCGCAGGGTGAGGCCGTGGCTGGCTGACGCGGTCGTTGCCTCGCTGCACCCCAGGGAAGCCCCTGCGTTGGATGCCCGGGGTGTTGCCGGTGGCTCGTTCCTCGCACGCCATCCCCCGTGACGCGAGCATCGGGCGTGAAGGTCCCTGAGGGTCCTGCCCGTGCGGTCCCACCGGACGTGCCAACGTAGGCCTGATGGATCCTGGCTCGGCCGGCCAAAGGAAGCCTCTTGCTTTGCCTGATCGCATTCAGTCCCTGGCACGGGGTTGGGAGGGACCTGGCTTGTCATTTGCTTCTTCTCTTGCATCCCGGCGAAGTGGCGGGGCGGAGAGCACCGGGCCTGCGTCAGTCCCGGCAGGCAGGGGGTGCTTTGCCCTTGGATCTGTGCTTTGCTGCAGGGCAGAGCTGTCTCTGGAAAGCCCCTGGGTGTGGGATTGGCAGCTGCTGCGTATCCAGGTTCGCCCAGGTCTAGCTGTCTCTTCCCCCGCTGCATTTCCCTGCAGGCGACTAGGGAGGTACCTGGCTCGGCCGTGGCTCGAAGGGGGAAGAGAGCAGAGTTACATCCCCTTGGACAAAACCAGCGCTGCTTACAGCTGCTCTCCCCCCGGCGTGCAGGAGGGGCTGCGGTTCCTGCCTGTGCTTACCTCTTGCCCTGAATAGGTAAAGGGGCAATGGAGGCTGGTGCCACCATCTCCTGCCTCGGGGCTGAGAGCCTTACAGCATCGTGCCTTCCTGGGGGTGGGGTTGGGGAAGCAAAGACGGGTCCACGTGGCACCCGTAGTTGCCGTTCAGGCATCCCTCGCTGGCTGAGCCCATCGCTTGGTTTCCTACCTTGGAGCGAGCTGCCTGCCAGCCAGAGAGCGCATCACCTCCGTGCCCTGCTGTCTTGCCGGGCTTGGGGAGGGCAGCTGCTGTCTGCACTGCTGCCACTTCCCGGTGGCTTTCGTGGTTGGTCTTGGATGGTGCTTATTAAGACAGTGACGTCTGACAGCACAAGAGCCCAAAGCGTGTCATCTGGGCGGCCTTTGGAGCTTGGAAGGGGAGGAGGGTCATCCTCCCAGCTGTGAGTTTGGCAGTGTAAGAGCAGCGAGGAGGCCAAGACCTAGACATTATAGCTTGTGCCAATGATCGTCAAACTGTGGGGTTGGAAGGGACCCCGGGGTCCTCTAGTCCAGTGCCCCGCACAGACGCGGGCTGCGCTGTCCCTAAACCATCCCAGACAGACCCCTGCCCAGCCTCTGCGTGGAGCCCTGTGGAGATTATTTGGCTCTTCTGGGCAGCTCGTTCCTCCCATTGCTGTGACAACGGGGGAGGTTTTTGGTTTTTTTCAGAGATTTAATTTCACACGCCCTTGCTGCAGGTCTCGATGCAGGGGCTGCAGACTGCCTCCGAGTTTAGCAGGAGCAATCAGCCATCTCGTGGGCTCTGCCTGTTTCCCCTCGCGGTCTTGGGAGGGCATCGGAAGCAAGACACGTATGACTTTGATTTCCCTGGTGTCCAACGAGAAACTTTTGGGCAGCAGGACTGGCTCGGCTGTGAAACGATCCCCAAGACGAGAGCTGGTGGCCTGCTCCCCTTTGGAGCAAAGAGAGCCTAGAAATGGTCCCACGTGGACAATCCCACCCCTTTTCGGTAGGGAGATGGGCTGCATGACTTGCTAGCACTGGTTCACTTCAATGCCCTGATCTGTGAGATGTGTCCTGAGCTACGGGTGCTCGCTCCTTTTTGTGAATCGGCCTATTTGGAAGCCTGCTGGCAGCCAGAGATTGGAGTCCCGGGTGCTGTCCTGTGCCCCGATTCTGGATCTGTCGCCCCAACTGTTGGGGATATAAAAGAGGGATTGTGCCGACCTCGCAGAGATGCTGGGTGTGAAATGCCTGCAAACTCTCGGTGCTAGGAAAGCATGACACATGCACGTACAACCGCTGCACGGGGCCGTAGCTGTGACAGTCCAGGGAGTACCTAAAGCAGCAGGATGTGTTTGGCGATGACTTTTATTGGCCTGCCTCTTCCAGCTGCTTGCATAACCATTCCCTTGATGGATCCCATCTTGAGGCACCAGACAAGATGAAGAGCAGTGTCTCAGCCCCAGTCCCTGCTGCGTCGTGCTGGGGCCGTCTCTTTGCTCGGCTCTGTTGATGTTGACATTGATACGTGCTCGGGTTAATCCCTTGGCTGCTGTCTCTGGATTCGGGCTGGTCGGTCCAACGACTCTGTCTTTCACGTTGGGATTAGGTGCTTTGCTTTTTTTAACATCCTAGCTCAGGGACTTTGGCCCGCGGGGTGGTATTCTGTCCCCACCCAATTGCTAGTCGGGCTGATGCTTCCCTGCAAGTAGCTGGATGCGGTCTGTCATATAAAGGGTCTAATCTTGACCTTCTAGGCTTTAACCAAGGACCTGCCTCTTCTGCAAGGTGCGGAGGGGTCAGGCTACCCCGACAATGACACGTGATATTTAAAAAACCAATCTAAGTAGAACAGAAACCTCTAGCAAGGGGAGGGGTAGGCAAAGTGCATGCCCAAGCCAGCCGGGCTGAGCTCTCCTGGGGACTGGGCACAAATTGTGCGGGTGCAATGGTTCAGTGGAGCGTGGGATTTGCGGCTTGCACTTGCCTTGGTGGCTGTATCCTTATGGCCCATTTGTTTGGCCCTGTCAGGTATTGCCACGGAGAGCTTTGCTCTGGTCCCTTGCTGGTCTTGCAGCCACCTCTTCCTTCTAGTATGTTTAAAAAATAATTTGGAGCTGTTCTGTCTCCATCAGCCCGTCTCCTTCCTGCATCCTTGCTTCCCTTACATGCTCAGACACCATCTCTCCTTTGCCCTTTCTATTGGTCCTTCCTCCTTGCTCTTGGCCCCCAGCCTCCACATCCGCTACTGCTGCTCCTGGTACCATGATGCGTCTTGAACCTTTGTTCCTACTTATTTCTTTTGCATTAGTGACGGCTACATCTCTGGGCACCTTGGCTGCCTTTGCTCTCCCCTGTCCCCCTTCGTGGCTGGTAGTGCAGGTTGCCTATCTCCTGATGGACCCAAATCCCTTTCTCACGCTTGTCTTCCAGACTGGTTTGATGCCTCTGGTTAAGGCGCTGGATCTCCTGACCCTGCTTCCTGGAGCTGGAGCTTTTGAAGGCCTCAAAATGCTGAATTATCTTAATGTAATGGGTGGTCGGTAGAGGCAAACAGGCCAAGGGCGTGCTAACTGAGAGCCAGCGGTGGGATTTTTGGAGAGAGCAACGCCACTGCTTCTGCCATGAAAAACGCAGTGGTTTTGATTGTTGATTAACACCTCGTAAACCTTGTGGCAAATGAGGCCTGAAATAGGCTGTCAGGATCCAAAGCCGTCGCTCGTCGTCTCTTATAGACAACCTGGCGGGTTGGTTCCTGAGCTGGACATTGATCGCGAGCTGCATGCGTGACTCGGGGCAGAGCTATTTCTTGACTTCCGAGTAATGCCAATTTCTTCGTCGTTTCTGATTTTGACTTTTTTTATTATTATTATTTACTGGGGACGTGGGCTTATCTGAAGAGGCAGCAGAATAGGATGTGGATTTTGGTGCTGCGTGGAGGGAAGGGCAGGTGAGGTTTTTACCTGCATTAAAGTCATGAGGCCTAGCTGCCAGCCTGGCTGGTTGGCATATGGGTGACGGCTGCCCGCGGGACTCGTACGGTGCCTACAGGCTGCCTCTCGCTGAAAGCATGACACGCGAACAGGACAAATTGCAGTGCGAAGAGTCTCGGGCCTGTGGACAGAGCTGCATCGTTACATGCTGACATCCCATGCAAAAGGCAAGAGCAGTGGCTACTACTTGGGCCGTCCCTGGGCTGTTTGACTGAGGCTTGTGTTAGCAGGACAGAAGAGGGGCACGAAGGTCCCCAGCACAGCTGTGCTGCAGGGCTTCTTCTAGTGCTTTGCACTTCCTCTCTGAGGCTCTTGTACCATCGGCAAAGATTAATTTAACCTTGAAAGTGTCCTGCCAATGCTCTTCCCATTTTACAGATAGGAAGGGAAATAAGAGTAGAGGAACTAGGGTCTCTGACTCAGCCCTGGGTCTCTCCTATGATGCCATCTTTCATAGTATCACAGAAAATGAGGGTGGAAGGGAGCTCAGGAGGTCACATCTAGTCCAACCCCTGCTCCAAGCAGGACCAGCCCCAACTATATCATCCCAGCCAAGGCTTTGTCCAGCCAGGTCTTAAAAAACCTCCAAGGATGGAGACTCCACCACCTCTCTGGGGAGCCTGTTCCAGTGATTTACTACTCTCCTAGTGAAAAAGTTTTTCTTAATATCCAACCTCAGCTTCCCTTGCTGCAGCTTGAGCCCATTGCTCCTTGTCCTGTATCTGCCCCCACTGAGAGCAGCCCAGCTCCATCCTCTTTGCAGCCCCCGGCAGGGAGGTGAAGGCTGCTATTCAATCCCCCTCGGGCTTCTCTTCTGCAGACCATGGGGAAGGGGGAAGGTATCTCGTGGAGTTTAAGTGCAACTTTACAGTACGACCCTCGTCAGAGGCAAACATGTCTGTGCCCATCGCCGCGTTGTCAGATGCATGCAATCTCTGGCCTGCCTCTTTGGAGGTGATGACATCTCTCTGTCTGCCTCATTGCATTTTTATCGATCTCTTTCCATCTCCGCTCTGTGCTCTGCTTGAATGTAAATGACTTCCTCGGGCAACATGTTTGGAAACCCAACCTCTTTGCCATACAGAACCGTTACTATGCCGGCAAGCTGAGAGTGTAATGGTGATTTTATTATTATTATTATGGATGGTTTTCTGGAGTGCCTGTTGCAGGTAAGGCTGTGAGAGGCTTGCAGGTTGCAGTCTTCCCTGGAGTGCAATAGGTTATTTTGGTGATATCGTGGCTTTTGTTTTATTGCACTAGCTGTGCAGTTGGGAGACACCAGTTTTTCTGGTATAAAATGCCCTTCCTGGGTCTGGGAAAGAAGCAATCCCAGCCTATGAGCCTATAAATGGCAGATGAAGTTCATATGTAGAAACAGGCACTTAGAGGCGTGGAGGAGGGCTGGAAACTCGGAGGAAGGAGAGCAGAGCATGGGGTTTCTTGGGGTGTCATTGCCTTGGGGGACAATATAACATCGATGGGGCAGAGCGCGGGGTGGAGGTGACGGTGCCGCTGTACTCGGCACTGGTTAGGCCTCATCTAGAGTATTGTGTGCCGTTCTGGGGTCTGTGTTTTTAAAAAGGACATGGTGAAATTTAGAGGGGGTCCAGAAGCGGGATGAGCGAGGGCTTGGAAGGCAAGTCCTAGAGGAACGGCTGAGGGCGCTGGGCATGTTCAGCTTGCGGAAAAGGCACTGAAGAAGGGACACGAGAGCAGTGTGCACGTACCTGATGGGTGCCGGAAAGAAGAGGGAAAGCGCCTTGTCTCTGCAGTAGGAGGAGGATGCGGACCCGTGGCTTGAAGTTGCAGCAAAGAAGGTTTATGTTGAAGATCAGGAAAAGCTTCTTGGCCGTCGGAGCAGGGAGGCTGTGGGAGAGACGCCAGGGAAGGGTGGACTCTCCATCCCTGGAGGTGTCAAGGAGAGGCTGGACGGGCTCTGGTTGGGGATGATTTGGGTGTAGGGATGCCTGTGCTGTGCTATGGGGATTTTCACGATTCTGGGCTGTGCTGGTTATTGGGGATGGGGGCTGGGAGCTGGAGGGTCCTGCCTAGTGAGTCTTGCCACCTTCTTGGGGTCGGACATGCCATATGTGGGGTCAGGAAGGAATTTTACCCCCCGGGTCAGATGGGTATGGACTGGGGGGGGTTGCTTTTGTCTGTAGTGGGGGCACAGCCACTGCCCGAGCTCCCTTGAGTGCATATTGCCAACATCTCCTAGAAGCAGGACGTTGGCTGCTGCGGCCCCCCTGCTTTCCCTGCAGCCGGTTCGGGTGTCACGTCTTGTGTTGCATCAGGGTGAACGGTAGTTTTGCTAAGAGGTTGGACAG